ACATTCTAGTGTTTAGTAAGACCCTCGACGAGCATCAGGGTCATCTCAGGCAGGTCTTGGAGAAGCTGAGGGAAGCTAACTTCAAGATCAATGCAAAGAAGTGCGATTGGGCAAAGACCCAAGTTTTGTATTTAGGCCACGTCTTAGACGGAGACGGCATCAAGCTAGAGGATAGCAAGATCGCAGCGATTAGAGATTGGGCGACACCGCGTAGATTGACAGAGTTGCGGTCGTTTTCAGGCCTAGCCAACTACTATAGGAAGTTCGTAAGGAACTTCTCCACTATCGCTGCGCCCCTTCGCAGGTTGCTCAGGAAGGAGACCATCTGGAAGTGGGACAAGGGCTGCACGTCTGCTATGAAGAAATTAAAACAGGCGTTGATAGAGTATCCGGTCTTTAAGGTCGCCGATTCGTCCTTGCCTTTTGTCGTTATTACGGATGCTAGCCAGTACGGCATAGGTGCGGTGTTACAGCAAGACGATGGCAATGGCTATAGACCCGTAGAGTTCATGTCCGCCAGGATGCCTTCAGAGAAGGTTGCGACATCTACCTACGAGAGGGAACTCTACGCTCTCAGGCAAGCGTTAGACCACTGGAAGCACTACTTGATTGGGAGGCACTTCAAAGTCTACTCAGATCACGAGACATTGAGATGGTTAAAGACGCAGGCCAAGATGACACCTAAGCTTACTAGGTGGGCCGCCGAGATAGATCAGTACGACTTTGAGCTCAAGCCTGTCAAAGGGAAGTACAACGTAGTTGCGGACGCTCTGAGTAGAAGGGCAGATTACTTTGGGGCAATAGTGCACTATCTCGATATAGGGAAGGACCTGCAACAGAAGGTTAGAGAAGCTTACGCGCAGGACCCTATCTATAGTGACCTCCTTAAGAAAGTCAAAGAGGCCCCAGAGACTGAGCCAAACTACCGCACTACCGAAGGGTTGCTTTTCGAGAAGACTAATGTCTTTGACCGCCTGTGCATTCCCAGTAACGAAGAAATTCGCAGTCTGATTTTGGGAGAATGCCACGACACAGAGGGTCATTTTGGTTGGCAGAAGACTTTAGCCAATCTGATGCGCGCGTATACCTGGCCAGGGATGAAGAATGACTGCGTAGAGTATGTTCGCAGTTGTAAAGTCTGCCAGCGTAACAAGACTACTACACGTGCCCCGTTAGGTCTTCTTTGACCCTTGCCCATTCCGGATCAGCCGGGAGACTCAGTGTCCATAGACTTCATGGACACGCACGTCAAAAGCAGGCATGGCAAGAGCCAAGTCATGGTCATAGTTGACTACTTTAGCAAGTAAGCAGTTTTTGTTCCTTTGCCTTCACAGGCACGTACTGATTTAGTCATACAGAGATTCTTTGACTGTTGGGTGAGCGAGAATGGAATCCCACTGTCTATAGTTAGCGATAGAGATAGTCGCTTTACTAACCAGAACTGGCAAGAACTCATGGGAGTATACGGATCTAAGTTGTTGATGTCGTCCGACCGTCATCCAGAGAGCAAATGAACAAGATCCTACAGCAAGTTCTGCGCATGTACATTAGGCCAGATCAGATTAACTGGGACGAGATGTTGCCTAAAGTAGCTAGTGCGTACAATAACAGCGTGCATTTGTCCACCTGCCGCATTCCCAACGAACTGCACAAGTCCTTTAGACCGCGCAAACCATTTGAAGGACTCAACCGGGATCAGATTCACAGGTTACCACCCGGGACCAGGGAGTTTGCTGTACAGCACGAGAAAGAACTAGCTACTGTCGTAGAGAACCTCAGGAAAGCCCAGCACAGGATGATAGAGCAGGGGAACAAACATCGTCGCCCTTCACAGTTTCAAGTAGGCGACTTAGTCTAGGTCAGTTCTAGAGAGTTTGCGCCTGAAGAGAACATCTCGCAGAAGTTACTGCCCACATATAGAGGACCGTGGCCTGTTCTGGAAGTCAAGGGCGGCGAAGATGGACCGTCCTATACTATAGAACTCCCAGCGCACCTCCATACATACCCAGTTTTCCATGCGTCGAAGTTGTTACCTTGTCAAACAAGTGATCAGTTTCCATCCCATAGATCTATGATACCGCCCGATATGGATGGAAGGTATGACATCGATGGYATAGTGGCTGAAGATGTATTCAGGACTGGAGGTAGGGGTCGTCCACAAAAACAGTACAAGCTTCGTTTTAGTTATCAGGAACCAGAAGACAACCGCTGGCTTACAAGATCTGAACTTCTAGAAACAGCTCCCGATATAGTCCGTGCCTACGAGAGACAGCAGAGGGGTAAAGGTCCTGCCATGGACTGAAATTTTCTCCCAGGACCTCGAATTTAGGCCGGCGGGAGTGAAACGGTATTCACCAGTTCGCAGTAGCGAATGCAGATCCCAGGGCTCGATCCCTAGTTCCCATCTTACCTGCGTACATTATTGATGTCAACCCGTAGATTTGAACCTGCGACCTGTAGGAACGCCAGTGGTAGGTAGATCGTCGTAGGTCACAGGGTAGAAGGGAATCGAACTGTAGACCTGTAGAGTACGAGTCTAGACAGTTCCGAAGTCGTAGCTGTAGGATGCCTGAAGGGTCAAGGTCGTAGCTGCTACTTACCTGAAGGGGCAGAGTCGTAGCTGCTACAGTACCGAAAGGCCAAGTCAGAGGGTTCTAGAAGTGGCCTTTCGGAATGAGCCTGCGTTGAACAGAGGCAAGTGGTCAAGTGGTGGTAGGCCACCTCGCTGAGTCAACAGTCCCAGTTAAGCAGTCCGGTCCTGTCCAGCAAGTACCGTCTGGGCCTGTGTGCACCAAGGGCCAAGGGACACAGGGCAGACCAACGCAGCGCAGAAGTATAAATCAAGAGGCTGCGTCCAGCCATTCATTCATTCCTGCG